AAACCAAAACTAAATGAAAAACAAAACTACTAATGAAGAAAATGAATTAAAGGAAAATAGTGTAGATAGCCGATTGTGTTTACTAATATACTACTACTAGTACAATATTAACAATAATACCATAGATATTGTGACTCATGTCATTACAATTATTATATTGCATGTTACATGTTAGATACTTGTTCAACTCATGTTTATTTACATGTCTGTTTCAGAAATAAACAGTGTACCCTCCACCACTCAAGGTCTGTAAGATTAAACATACTTTTGTGACCGTGGGAACGGAGAGAGGACGACGAAAAACGGGATGATAAGCAAGTGAGGTCATGAATGTTCTCAGAAGAGGAGAGTCATTTGTCATGTGAAACACTTGACAAACTCACCATGAACACAGCTACTCTACATTGTTGATTTGGCATATTTCTGTAGACTTCGGCTGATGAGCAGCTGTTTTGTTTTGTGGTGCATTTGTGGCAGTGTTGTTAACAGGGGAGATGCCCTCTGGTGGGAAAACTATGCAACGCTCATGACATAAGTGAAGGATCCCACTCTCCGTTTCTTTAGTAATCGGTTGTTATAAACGCTGATACTGATTTATCTGCAATAGCTCATATCGGCGGTTCATATTGGCGGTTAATATCAGCACGCTTATAAATCAGTTGGGCTCTTGTCTCTAATAGCATAAAACAAGTTATGTATCCATTTTAATGTTTACAATTTCATCAGTTAATTCTTTTTATACAACACCTACCTGTACAATATATGACATCCTCTGTCCTTACACGTCTGAGTCAAATTCCATTACCAACTCTGGACATAGTTTACTAGAGTTTTGTCTGGCTGTAATTTCCCACCGTGTTTCCTGCACCTCTCACTGATGGAATGTTGTGGCTACAGGGCCACAGATGAGAGCTGAACAGTCATGAGGATGTTTGGTGCATACATCACTTTTGTTTAGCTGTCCCCTCATGACTAAGTCAGTTTACATTTTCAGCATTACCCAAAGGGATTTGCATTGTGGTCAGCAGTAGGATAAGCCAACACAGCAGGTAACTGGTAGTGAGGAGGTCACAGGTCAGCACTACATCATTGTGACAATATGCATCTGACTATAGACGGATCACATAGTGTGGGGAAAACGAAATCAGAGGAAAGATGGAAGAAAGATATTAGATGTGAGAGCTGATATGATTAACCTCAACATTTCCCTAACACGACTGGAGAGGTAGTTGAATTTGTTGCCTGTATGCGTTATTCCCAACACAAATATACTTTATAGTGTTTTGCAATTAAGCATTTGATTCTTTGGTTTCTAAGTAAGTTTTTAGGGTTACTGTTGCTAATGGAGCATACTGATTAAAAAACTCTAAATGTATCCAATGTATCCCTTGCCAGTAGTAGAGAATGGCACATTTAAAAGTATGTTTTACTCCACTATTGTCTCCATTTGAGAACCCTGAGGAGTGCCAAAGGTGTTTTAAGTCTTGCAGAAGCGGACTTTTCTGCCAAGCCTTTCTAAAGCAGCAGCAGTTAATGACTTCCAGACTGATTTTGATCAGTAAAACAAGTCAGTGTCACATGTAACATCTGTTGAAATGTTGCCGATTGCTAAATATCACATTCTAAGCCGTTGGGCTCATCAAAGCACCGCATTCCCAGCTCATGTCTGCAAACTGTTCATTCACAGCATTTGCGTGCATGTTGTTATGGATGCTTCCCACAGTTTTAACCCTGTGAACTCTGTTTGTCACCTTAGGATTTCCCCTTACGTTACCTAACATGAAACGGTCCCATTTACCGTATATTTTATCGGCTTTTTCCCGCAATTCCTTTGAATCGATTTCACATGTTTGATGAGTAAAACATTTAAATTCTAAACAGCATTTTTTTATAGTTGCACCATTGAATCAGATGGAAATTTCATGCAGCCTTTTAGCATTATTGGATCCACTTATCGATGTAATTCAGCATGAAGTATTTGGAAACCTGATAAGAGTTTAAAAGTTCTTTGGGTTTGAAGAAAGATCTGCTGTGTAAAATATGTTTGTAATGATGGACCCAGTAGTCTGGGTTTGAAGGTGTTGTGCTGCTCTGTGTCATACAGAGTTTCCCACAGAATTACAATCTACCTGGGCGCAGCGACAGCCGAGGGGGTGGGGTGGGAGTAAGTGTGGAGGTGATCGGTGTTGGGGTTAGCGGGGTTTTGTACTAGCCTAGGTTTTTTCATATTTAACCAATTTTAATAAGGTTTCATTTATTCTCCACCTTATTTTAGTGTTTACTCACAAGTCTACTTGAATGTGCTCCATTTCCCTTCAGTTCGCTTTTCCCCACACTCGCACACCTCTGCTGCAAACACACCGGCTTGCCCTGCCTCTTTCTGTCTCTTTCTCCCTGTATGCGTTTGCTCTGTTGACATTCTCCAACAGCAGTTGGCTATGTTTTACAAAGTCGCCAAAAAGACAGAAGTTGTCTCTTGGATTTTTCCACCTGTGAGTCGCAAGCATGTAGAGAAGACTTGTTAATGACACAGCCTATCGCAACAATCAAAACCATGGTACGAAATGACATCTGCACTGGTGTGTTCACTGTTACGCTACCTGGTCCGTGCTTTTAAATATCCACCGTGTCTGTGCCATGTAACAAAATGGATAACAACTCTGTGTTTCTCTGCAAAATGCTAAAACGGGTCGCCAAACATACCTCGGCGGTTGTTCATTTACATAAACGGCCCACCCAGTAAAGTCTATGTGTAGGAAGCAACTGATTTTAACACTGTAGACTTCTATATAAGTTTCTCCTGCCAACACTAGGTACTGAATTCTTGTACCAATGACCAAGATCGTTCTCTCACTTTAACAAGTGGTTTTAGTTGCCTTATCTTGACCAAGCCTCCACATACAGTGGGTACGGAAAGTATTCAGACCCCTTTAAATTTTTCACTCTTTGTTTCATTGCAGCCATTTTCCAAAAATCAAAAAAGTTCATTTTATTTCTCAGTAATGTACACTCAGCACCCCATCTTGACAGAAAAAAACAGAAATGTAGAAATTTTTGCAAATTTATTAAAAAAGAAAAACTGAAATATCACATGGTCACAAGTATTCAGACCCTTTGCCGTGACACTCATATTTAACTCAGGTGCTGTCTATTTCTTCTGATCATCCTTGAGATGGTTCTACACCTTCATTTGAGTCCAGCTGTGTTTGATTATACTGATTGGACTTGATTAGGAAAGCCACACACCTGTCTATATAAGACCTTACAGCTCACAGTGCATGTCAGAGCAAATGAGAATCATGAGGTCAAAGGAACTGCCTGAAGAGCTCAGAGACAGAATTGTGGCAAGGCACAGATCTGGCCAAGGTTACAAAAAAATTTCTGCTGCACTTAAGGTTCCTAAGAGCACAGTGGCATCCATAATCCTCAAATGGAAGACGTTTGGGACGACCAGAACCCTTCCTAGAGCTGGCCGTCCGGCCAAACTGAGCTATCGGGGGAGAAGAGCCTTGGTGAGAGAGGTAAAGAAGAACCCAAAGGTCACTGTGGCTGAGCTCCAGAGATGCAGTCGGGAGATGGTAGAAAGTTGTAGTAAGTCAACCATCACTGCAGCAATCCACCAGTCGGGGCTTTATGGCAGAGTGGCCCGACGGAAGCCTCTCCTCAGTGCAAGACACATGAAAGCCCGCATGGAGTTTGCTAAAAAACACCTGAAGGACTCGAAGATGGTGATAAATAAGATCCTCTGGTCTGATGAGACCAAGATAGAACTTTTTGGCCTTAATTCTAAGCGGTATGTGTGGAGAAAACCAGGCACTGCTCATCACCTGTCCAATACAGTCTCAACAGTGAAGCATGGTGGTGGCAGCATCATGCTGTGGGGGTGTTTTTCAGCTGCAGGGACAGGACGACTGGTTGCAATCGAGGGAAAGATGAATGCGGCCAAGTACAGGGATATCCTGGACGAAAACCTTTTCCAGAGTGCTCTGGACCTCAGACTGGGCCGAAGGTTTACCTTCCAACAAGACAATGACCCTAAGCACACCGCTAAAATAACGAAGGCGTGGCTTCACAACAACTCCGTGGCTGTTCTTGAATGGCCCAGCCAGAGCCCTGACTTAAACCCAATTGAGCATCTCTGGAGAGACCTGAAAATGGCTGTCCACCAACGTTTACCATCCAACCTGACAGAACTGGAGAGGATCTGCAAGGAGGAATGGCAGAGGATACCCAAATCCAGATGTGAAAAACTTGTTGCATCTTTCCCAAAACGACTCATGGCTGTATTAGATCAAAAGGGTGCTTCTACTAAATACTGAGCAAAGGGTCTGAATACTTATGACCATGTGATATTTCAGTTTTTCTTTTTTAATAAATTTGCAAAAATTTCTACATTTCTGTTTTTTTCAGTCAAGATGGGGTGCTGAGTGTACATTACTGAGAAATAAAATGAACTTTTTTGATTTTTGGAAAATGGCTGCAATGAAACAAAGAGTGAAAAATTTAAAGGGGTCTGAATACTTTCCGTACCCACTGTACATAGAAGTGGCGGCTCCCATAAGGCTTAAATTAGACTTTTCATATGCATTTTGGAAGACATAAAATGCTAATTAGGGAAATTTTGGATGGTAATGACAAATCAAACAGTTGATTAGACTGGAGTGACAATGTGAGAATTCAAAACCACAGATCAAAAGTATATTTTTGCCATCAACAACAATCTGTCCATCCAGAGAAAAGGGAACTCACATTTTACCTTCCCATCTCTTTGGTTTCTGTCATCATAAAGCAAGCTGTAAACATGAAACACTGTGAGCAGTTTTACTAGACATAATCCTTTTTACTCATAATTTATAAGTTACTCCATTTGGCGGATTCTGAAAACATTGTCACATTGTTTTTTTCGATATACTATACCTGAACTTTGCTGTACTACATGCTGGATGCACTATATTTGTGTTGCTGTGCTTGTTAATTTGAAGTGCTTTAATTTGTTACAGACGATGAGCGAGAGGCCGTTCATCCAGAAACTGTTTCGCCCCGTTTCACCTGAAGGCAACGTGCACACGCTTGGAGACCTGCTGAAAGAGATGTACCCAGCTGCTATACCAAACGACGGTAGGTCTACAAACAGGCACACACACAGGGACAAGGAGGGTTGCCTCTCTTTTTTTTTTTTTTTAATAGTGAGCAGCATAATCTTTTTTTAAATTTATGCTCATCTTCTAATGTGATCGATGATGATGATGATTAAAATAATAATGTCATTAAGAATAACACTTGAAAAATATCACTCGCACACAAGTCTGAATCATGTCAAACATTACCAGCAGATAAGTACAGTAGCAGACATGTTTTTTTGGTTTCCTTATCCCAGAAGGGAGAGAAGAACTGAAGCACTGCTTCAGGTTCATTTTATTTACACAGCCACGCGAGGCATGTCAGAGATCGACACTCTCAGATAATAAACACACTGCGGGAGGACTAAATGAGGGAAAATTGTGGCAGTTGCCACTAAGATGTGGGAGGAGGAGAGGAGGTTGGGTAGATAGAGAGTGAGGAGGCATGAAGAGGGAAAGAGAATGACAGCAAATTGCGGATGAAACTGTGATGTAAAGTCAGAGTGCTCCAACAGGAAGAGATGAAGAGAGCTGGAAACCAAACAGGTAGATGGGGAATGTTTAGTTGCTTTAATAAGTGATTGCTGAAGTCATTTCCAAGAGTAGGTCCACTTCAAGTCAAAACCAGAACCACAATCACATCTCTCTCCAGTTCAAACACAAACAACAAGCAGTGGGAGTTTTCGGTTGCACAGAGTGATAAATGAATCTGCAGAAGCTCTGGAATTAATGATTCATGTCCAGGTCTTCTGCTGGCACCCCAATACAACATTTATTTGTTAAAACGGCAAACAAAACAAAACAAACAGCACATACAGATGCTGAAAGCGTATATAGCCAACCTCTCTGTAAATAAAAACTCATAAATGCAAACAAAATTAAGGACCGCAGATCAGTGCAGAGCTAATAATGTTCATATTGTAAAATATCAAGTGTGAAATGCTTTAACATGTAACTAACCAATGCTAAGTAATGATTTTATTCAATGCACAGATGCATAGACTGTGGTGCTGTGCCAAAATAAACAAAACTAGATTGTTAATTAGATTTTTCAGGACAAACATCAAGGAAAGTTCTTAAAAAATATGTCTGTGTTCCTAAACAACACGCAAGTCATAAAATCCTGAAACATACAAAGTAACCAGCAAATTGCAAAATACTGGCAAACTGATGAATTGCTTTATCAGTATAAATACAACATACTATCTATACCTGTATACAGTAGTGCCTACTGTGAACCTTTTAATTACATATGACAGCAGGTTTGGCATATATGCACTCGTGGCATATAGTTGAGCTGCAGCTGTGGCGGAGGTGTGGTGAAAATGAAAGAAAAGATGAGAGGAGAGAGAGAGAGAGAGGGCAAGCCGCAGTCTAAACAAGCAGTGTCTGCAGAGGGGGGGAGAGAGGAAGTAGATAAGGAGACAATAGTGTGTTAGGACAGAGAACCCGCAGAGACTCACCTGCACGGAGGAGACAGAACCATTAACACCCCCCCTCCTCTGTCTCTGTCTTACATTCACTCTCATTTTGTCACCATCACGATTCTGACTTTTTACAACTCACACTTGCTTTCATATAATCCATTGGTTCATTTGAAAAAAAAATCTCAAAAGTTCTCAACTGAATGATAAATTCTATGAAATATTAAAAGTCTCTAAAATTAAAGTCGTCTGAGGTCTTGATTTTGAAAAGTACAGTGAAATGTTGCTTCCACTGTTAATTGAGATTAAGGTAACTCAGGAAGGGTTAGCTGTGTCCCGATTCCTAATATACAGTATGTACTATACTCCAAGTTTTATTTATATAGCGCCAATTACCATAACAGAAGTTATCTCATTGCACTTTCCATATAGAGCAGTTCTAGACCGTACTCTTTGTAATATTATTTACAGAGACCCCACAATTCCCACCCCAAGCAAATACTTGGCAACCAAACGGTGACTTTAAAAGAAAATATTTTTCCAAAGATAAAGTACTTATTTTAGTAGTATTTTTTGTTATCTGAAAAATTCCTGAAGCTACACAACCCTATTCTGTGATGTCTGTAAATGGTGTGCTGACTCTGGGAGCGTCTCATCCTCTCTGCATGTAGCGACCAATTGCTAAACCACAACCTAGCTAACGTTAGTTACTTGCTGTGTAGTTATCAACTCTATATCATGGTATTTCTTACTTTTTAAATGTCAGTGACTAATGTCAGTTAGTCGATTAGTGATCATTAATGTGGCCAGCAGGTTATTTTGGTTTCGAATAGTGGTTCCAGGTGGATAAAATATCTGGATACACTGATCTCTTGTCTCTCCTTGCACTTGTTATTAGTAATGTTCAAAATATCCAGGTAGCAGGTTTTTCATTTTTAGCTGTTGCTGGCCGTTGCATTGGCCTGTTCAAATTAAAATCACCAGTGGCAACTCGTATCAGCTGTAACTAAATGAAGTCAATGTTAGTTATTTGCCAAAGGCAAAACTTTGTCACACATTATCAGCCATAACCACTAAATATAATGTCAAAAACTAATTTTTTTTAAAGAAAAATATCTTCCTGCTTCCTTATAACTGACTAACATACGACTCTGAAACTTTGCCTGGGAAAATGTAAACATAGGCTCTTCCTGTCTGTGTGCCGTGAATCATTTAGCCTGATTTCGCAGGGAATCAGACCCGGTGACAGGCATTAAGAACAACTGTATAGAAATAGCCAATCTACTCGCTGATGGATGTGATTATTTATGTAGGACATATAGAGGAATCAGTATTACATTTATACTGTTTCATAACCAATTAAAAACTCATAGTACATTACTAGTAGTACATTTGTTTGCTTAAAATGTGCGTGACTGTTAGGTGGAGACAGAGATATCCTCTTACTGTGTCTTCTTCTTTTCCTGTTCCTTTCTTTCTCTATAGTTTCCCTGATCTAAGACTCTGTTTTTCTTCTTTGATCCTCTATCGCTCTCTCAGGTGTAGTCATCAACATCTTCCCTGTCTGCCGTAGACGTCTTTCATGTCTTTGACGTTAAATCTCTGCCTTTCTCTGCTCTCCTCCCTCCCAGAGGAGTCTGCCAGCCTGCCTGGCTGATCAAGGTGAAAGTGGCCCTTTTGTCTCTTGTCGTTTGTTTGGTTTCCACCTCTTCCTCGGCTGGTAGATGAGTGGAGTGATAGCCGGAGATTATGGCGGCGTGTTTGGATTAGAGAGACAGACTTGTGTTCAGGGGCTGGGTGGGGCGGTGGTGTTTTGGGGGGTTTGCTGGTAGTATTGTTCAAGAGTTCAGAGGACTTCTTTTCTTTTTCAGTCGGGACCCTAACATATAACAAAAAGAAAATCTAGGGTGCTCCACTGCTCTGTGATCTTTCAAACATCAAATAACAAGGTTTTTCATACAATCCTCCCTTCTGTTATGTCTGAGAGAGGATTGGTGTTGACCCCTGCGGGACCCAGAAACCAGTTGAAGCAAACAAATGGGGTGGCTTAAATTAGGAGGAAAAAACAAGGGGATTCCCAAATTGTTCTCAAGAAATGGCCGGAGAGTCATGAGGCTGTTGTCTACCCCCCCCCACATTGTGGGAAAGAAACCCAAAACAACATGTTATAACTGTAACTTGTGGTCAACTCTGACGACTGTTGTAGCTGTCTTTGTTTTTTGAACCAGGTGCGTTATTGAGCAAGGTTTTTGGCAAGAATTTGTCTTAGGTTTGCTGCAAGAATCACAGCCTAAATGGTGATGCTGCCCACACATGACACACGCGTGTTGACAGACAATTCTTGTAAGCAGAGTTTTCTTTTCAGGTTTTATCGGAGGTGAACCCAATCAGGAAAACCCCCCACATTAGATATTGTCAATGAATAATTAGAGGAAATCCCCCACCCCATCTTAGTCCCCTCCACACACACACACACAAAACCCCACCCCACCCTGACCCCGCCCTCCTCTTTGAGTGACAAATCAAATTACCAATGATTTGGGCATTCAGTCCCCCTCCTCCCACTACCCCACATTTCAGTCACATCTGTGGTACAGCCCACTCACTATTGGCAGGCTTCCACCAGGCTGCATCAGGAGCCAGTATAGCTTGTGCTGATGAAATGGGTCGGCTCACTTCAGAGGGGGAAGTGTAGGTTTCAGTGGCTGTTTTGATACAGTAGATCATTCAGGGTTATGGTTCATATGCGCAGGCGTGTGAGATGTGCACCAAGCGGGAATTCAGAATAGCTCGAAAGCCTGCTCGAAGCGTCTGTCTGTTTTTGGATTGAAATGTGGTCAGCAGAGATGTTTTTCTTTCTTATTCTATCCGTACAGCTTTACTGTAAAAAGGACATTTTGGAAAGTTTTGAAAAATATGTAGATATTCTCTACCTCTATTACTGTGATACCATTATCATTCAAAACTGATGTGTTATCTTGTAGCATTGGTAATGTTAAAAATCTGTTCGCCTAATAATTGCCTCATATTACAAGTGTTTAAAAGGTCCGGTCAGTTTTATTAATATCGTCCAAAATAGTTTGTCTCAGAGGACTTTAAACTGCGTACATCACACCACACCCTCTATCTTTAGACCCTTCGCCTTGCAAGCAAAAACATTATATTTTCTGATAATGGATCTAACCAGACATTAAATGCCATCTTTTGGTACTTGGCAGTTTAAGATACTCTGTGCTAGACATATTTCAATCAGTATCAAAAGGTTTGATAACTAACCATACCTTACTCTTTTCTGTTTTCTTGATTTTTTAAAAATTTGGTTACTGTTATTTTTAGTTCTTAGTTACTGTTTTCAAAAAAGCTACTATACATGTGAGAAATTTGTCTTCTTTTGTCAAAGGTCAAAGGTTTTGCAGAAAATGGTTCAAGTATCATATCACACTAGTATCTAAACAGTTCAGACAATATCCAGCCTTAGTTCCAGGATTTACAGACGTGCAATAGGTGGGGTCTCTACAGAGTGGACAGAAGTAACAATTTTACCTATTATTTATTTTTGAGGTTCAATATCAAA